GGAAGGAGAGAGGGGGGAGGGAGGGGGGGGAGGGGGGAGGGGGGAAGGAGAGAGCGCGAAGACAATTGCCCTACAATGGCGTTCTCTTGCTGTCTGATCGGCTGTGCGCTTGGCGTGCTCGGTGCACCATGAACCGGGACTCGGATCTCTTGTGCCCTTTCGGGGACAGGACATTGCCTAAAAGGAATCTCTATTCAGGAATATTTCCTCAGGAATCATTATTCAGAAATTCTGATGAAGCAATATGTATTGAGAAGTCTGCTTCAGAGGGATATTTACTCAAGAGTTCTTAGTGAGGCATATTTCCCAAGGAATCGTTTGCCAGGTAAGGAAGATGTTTTGTGTGCACCTTTACCAAGGAGTCCGAATGAAGGAATCTTTATTAATTCTCAGCAGTCCGAAGTAAGCAATGCATGAGGTCCTTACCAAGGAGTCTTTACTTCGGAATCCTTGTCGAGGAGTATTTACTAAGGCTCCAGAGTCCTTTAGATGGATTTTGTATGAGGGGATTTTCTTAAGGTGTCATGTATACCGAAATCTCGATTCGATAATATGAATGTAGGAATCTCCTTCAGATGACATATTTTTCGCAAGGAGACCTGAACAAGGCATCTTTACACAAGGAATCGTCGTTAAGGAATTTCCTGCTTCCACGAATTTTTACCAAGGAGTCCTTATGGAGAAATTCTTAACCAGGAGCCACTCCTAGTAGGGAGTCTTTACGACGGAACCCTTATGTAAGGAGATCCTTAATAAGGCAGCTGCACTGCGGAATCCTTACCAAGGAATATTGACCAAGGCTTTGGAGTCTTTAGTAAAGAGTCGTTACTGCGGAAGCATTCTTAAGGAATCCTGTCTATGGAATGTCATTCAGGAGTCCTTATTGGCGTATGTTTGCGGCGGAATCCTTATTCAGGAATCCCATCCGTAGTGGGGAATCCGTAGTACGAAATATTTAGCAAGGAATATGTATGAATGAATCTTTGATAATGGTCTTTACTAAGGAGTCGTTAGGAATGGTTCTCTACCACGGAACCCTCATTGAGGGATCTTTATTCAGGAGTTGACAGTAAGGAATTTGTATGGACTAATCTTTTTTCACGAGTCCTTAGTCAGGAATCTGGATTAAGGAATCCTTATTAAGGATTCCCTTCCAAGGAATATGTAGTAAGGAGTCCTTATTGAAGGGATGCGTAGTGAGGAATCTTTCACTAGGAGTCCGCAGTAAGGACTCCGTAGTAAGGAATCATTACGGAGGAATCCGGAATAAAGAGTCCGCCGTAAGGAATCTGGGCTAGGGCGTGCTACAGAGGACTCTTTGCAAGGAATCCGTAGTATGGACTCCCGATTCTTGGAGTGCTGAGTAAGGAGTCCTTGCTAAAGAATGATCAGACAGCAATCTTTACTAAGGAATGGTTAGTATGGAGCTCTTGACATTGATCCAAGTGGGATGTTTAGTGAGGACCCGTTTCCCAGGAATCCGTACCAACGAAATTCTCATGAGGAGCCTTCCCTCAGGATTTCTAAGTAAGAAATGCGTGGTAAGGAATCCTTGCCCAAGAACTGTTGAGTAAGGAATCCGTACGGTGGAATTGTAAGCATTCCTTAGTAAGGCTTCCTTTGTAAGGAATGCTCACTAAGGAATCCTTCATAAGGAATCCGTACTCAGGATTCCTTGCTCAGGGATGTTGAGTAAGGAATCCTTTGTAAGGAATGCTTAGTAAGGAATCCTTGTTATGGAGTTCTTAGCAATGAGTCCTGTGTACGAAATCTGGATTACGGGGCCAGTAGTAGAGGACCTGTACTAAGGCAGCCTTAGTAAGGACCCATGATTAAGGAATCAGGAGTAACGATTCCTCACTACAGGCAGCTCGCTTCGTTGGCGTTCACATGCAAATCAGGAGAGTGAGTCTTCTTGGTGCCTAGCGACAGCGAGAATGCTTGTTTATGTTAACAGGATTGTTGTTGTTGTGGTTGTTGTGTGGGGGGGGTCGCCCGGAGAACGGCGTCAGGGAAGGTCCTCATCCCCCCAAAGATGGGGGCTTTAGTCGCCGCCCACAAGAAGGGCGTCCAGGAACGTCCCTATCCTTGCTGTTGTTTTCGTTATCAACCCGCGACCCACCCGTGATCCAACCCGCGACCCAGTTCGCGACCCACCCGCGACCCACCTTGCGACCCACCCCGCGACCCACTCCACGCTTGCCCCCCCACCCTTATCCGCAATTGCAGGGTGCAGCGTATGATTAATACGCTCCAAAAAGCGATTTAGACTTTTTGGTACGTACTACCACCCAAAAGTCGCCCCTGCCCTTAACCCAGGCATGAGGGCCCAATAGACAGGGGCGGACGCAGCCCCCCAGATGAAACCAACGTATAAACTGAAAGATGGCATGCGAGGCTCGGGTCTCTTGTGCAACCGCACGGAGACAGGACAGTGCCTCAAAATGCAGAGCCAGAGACGACGACCACGACGACTACGACGACGACGACGACGAAGACGACGACGACGACGACGACGACGACGACGACGACGACGACGGTGGGATGCTCGAACTCCCAGAGGGCTGGCACGCGCGCAGAGCCCAAGGCACGCATACACACCCAAACGGGGGGTGGGGGCAGAATCGCCGCGGAGGCGGCGAGGGGCCAAGGTGAAAGCCAGCTGGGCGAGCGATCGGGGGGGGCCCACAATGAGTGAGCCTGCATCTGACGCAGACTCGAAGACCAGCTCCGTTGGGGCGGGATATCCTCGAAAGGACCGCCACCACCGCACGACTGCATTCAATCAGGAGGTCGGCGCAGTTGCAGCGGACTCGGCTGCAAGGCTGCAAAGCGTATTTGGTATTGGTTTTGGCAACCAGAGATGCAAAGTTCCCTAGCAGAGCGGGGTGGTGCTGCGGGCCACACCAGTGACCCGCTGTTTGAATTCGGCGGCGGCCAGGCTGGCTCTGCTGGCGCTCTGCTCGGCACTACTCTTCGTGTCCTGGCGGAGCGGAGGGCGAGGCGAGGACGACACAGCGAAGGAAGCAGCGCTCAGCGGCATGGCGATCTCCGTGAAGACCGGTCCAGGCGAAGCCTCTGGCATCTGCAGAAAATCGGGGGCGGAAAAGAGGGGGGTGATGACTAGGGGGGGTGGATATCATGGCGGGGGCCATGATATTTCCCCAGATTTCATGGCGCCTCTTCTTATTTCATTACGTCTCTGGCCCCCCCGCTGGGCCGCGCACATGCCGCCAGTCATGATTTGCACCCCCCTCTCTTGGAACCCCCCCTCTTGGCCGCTCTCGAGAAAAGGGGCTCCAGGGTTCCCGCAGCGAGGGAGCCGAGACCTGCGCAGGCCTCAGGCGAAGGGGCGGACGGGGCCTCCTGCTGCAGGAGGGCGGGCAGCCGAGGGGCACGAGCCAGCGGCGGCACCCGCGGCAGAACAGTGTGCGACGACGAGCCCAGACCTCTGACGTCATGATTTGTTCATGGCGTCGACCCCCAGCTTTCCCAGGTGCCGGTTTTTCGTCCTGAGTGGTTGTTAGACGCTCCCGAGGGCCGGCAAGGGCCTGCCGAGGCCGAGAATAGCGAAGAACCGCCCGTTTTGAATTGTTCATATCGCGAGGGGGTCTGGGAGCACAGCCCAGCGGATCTCCACCCACCGGGCGCGGGCGGTCGGTGGCAGTGCCGTGGACGACGCCAGGATGTCGAGCAGGACCGGAGGGGACCCGGCTGCAGGCCTGCGCCAGGCCGCGTGGCCTTCGGCAGCGAGGGGCACGCGGCCGACGCGTGCCGCGCAGCCCAGGGCTGAACCTAAACGGCGTTTTTCGTCTTCGGTTTGTTTTCGTTGTTCGTCGCTTGGTCTTGAATCCGCCTTCGCTGCAAAACGACATCGAAACGAAAACGGCCCACGAAATCGCCAAAGCACAGTTTAGGTCCACCCCTGGCACAGCCGAGCCTCCGCGCAGCGGCGAGGCCGCGCGGCAGCAGACAGCGCCATACCGAACGGGATGAACGAGTGTTAAATCGGGCATGTCCCTCTACAGGAGGAATGTTCAAAAACACGCAAACAATCGTCCAGGGGCGGTTGCTCCACTGTTATTGGCTATGTTGCAATCTTTCTGGAGTGTTGTTAATGTGTCGTCCAAGATCCGCCTGTAGGTGGACATGCCCGACCCAAAACTAGTGGAACGCGGCGGCCAGCGCCTCAGTGAGGCGCCCAGCGGGGGCCAGGGCTTCAGGAAGGGGCGATGCTCTGGCCTTGAACCAGAATGGCTCGAGCCAAAATGGCAACGCAGGAGTAGTGGTATGATGGAGGGGGGAGTGGGTACAAGGGGATGGTCCAGGATGAGGCGGAGTCGATCTGCAATCGTGTTTTCTGATCTCGTTATGAATGGTCTCACATGTAGGGATCGTCTTGGTATCCGTCTCGCACGCGGCCCAAAACGCCTTCAAAAGGCGTTGGAGGCGGATGTACGACGGATGGTTATGATGGCGTTGGTGATGATGATGTTGGTGATGAGAAGGATGATAGGGAGGTGATCAGGGGGAGGAGGATGCGGCATATCGATTCGGTTTGGGGCACCAGTACTTCTGTGCGTTACTCTTCACTCCGTCCTCCCTCGGAGGAGGGAGCAGGAAGGTCAGAATAAGCAGGAGAGAAGGACGAATAACATCAACGGGTAAAGGTGGAGAATGGAAGGAGCCACAGGGATGAGAAAGAGGAGGTGGGGAGGGGGGAGACCGAGCAGAGAGGGAGAAGAGCCTAGGGTAAGACGAACGCGAGGATTTCCGTCAAAGAAGTCAGAAGACGCGCAAGACAAACATGGCCACATGCAACCAATGTCTCACGACATGGACTTGTGCTGCGCTAGGCCCTAAGCGTGCGAGAGATGGGCGCGTGGTTCTAGTTACGTATAGTCGTGTCGGTTTACAGCCGATATGGGTACAAGCAGTACCCATAGTACTCGTTGCCCCCCTGACGCTCTCATAGTTGCTTGGCCCGCGAGGTTGCTTGCATGTCCTTCAGTGGAGGCGTGAAGCTCGGTGACCTCGATGACTTCATCGCTGCCTCCCAGGCTCGGCGTCAGCGTAGCAGATGCATCCTTGGCCAGTTCATGAACTTACTTGCCAGCCCATTCAAGAGGTGATACATTATGGATGCTGGATTTGCTCCGAGGGGTTGTTCGATTTCGTTACGGCATCGCCAAGGGAGTCCTGGCAGTGATGTCTGATTCTCGTTTCTGCCGTGGGTTGTGCAATTTCGGTGCCTGATCGTCGGCGTTGTTGTTGCCTGGGGGGCCGAGGAGAAGAAGGAGGACAATGAGGTGGTGTATGAGGTATGAGGAGCAGAAGCATGAGGATGAGGAGGAGTGGGGACAGGACAGGTCGCAGGGTCGGAAGAGGAAGTACCTTGGGAGGATCAGCCATCGAAGAGGGGGGAGGAGGACGAGGAGACCGAGAAGAAGGACGCGGAGGGAGGGTGGATGCGGAGGAAGAACAGCCCTGCACCAAATGCATGATCGTGCCACGCCGACCAGTTGACGCCCGTCTGCCTTCAAGAAGCCCTGCTGGAGGCCTTTCAGAAAGTGCGAGATATTTGTTGGCCGTGGGTGACGAAAGGGGGTCCCGAAAGCCAACAACTGGGAAACCTAAGAGAGGGAGTGCTCCCGAGGCCTCCAGGGGCCGAACACTTACCAGCATTGTCCCGTTATTTTGATGCTTGCTCTCAGCACCGAACCTCGGTCGCCGAACCTCGAGTTTCTCTTCCTCCCCACCATCCCCTGGCAGGAGTGCGTCAAGCCGCTGATTGAGGCCGCCAGTGGCAACGGCTCCGCGAAGATCGGCTCCACGGGCACCGTGGGCGCCGCGGCGCTGGGGACCCGCATCGCCGCAGTGGAGACGCCGCAGGTGCCGTGATGGGGGCTGGTGAGGGGCTTGTCGCCGGTGACTGGGCGCCGCGCACAGGGGGGTGGCACGAGGGGGGCAGTTTTCTGAAGGGACTTCCCGGAAAGACGGCAGGGCTTTGATGGAGGCGTCCTAGAAGCCGGCAGGGCTCAGGAAAGCACCAGCCCCTTCTCCGATTGTGCACCATAGATGTCTTCGGCCGACCCGACGACGCGCGCCGACGAATGCGTGTGGACTTTATGCAATTCGGGCGCGCACTTCCGAGCGCGCTCCCCCCTCGTCCACTGATGGGGTCTGACCCGGTCGATTCGGTCATACAGCCCCGTCGTTCCATGTGACGTTTGGAGCGGTTTCTGGACGGCCATGGGAGATTCATGCAAGCGAATATTTGCGGACATTCAGCTGTCGCTGGTCGTTGCCCCGCACTGGGAGAGGTGCAACGGCCGAATCTCATCAAGACGAAGCAGAGCAAGGAGGAAAGCGCTCGTGCTCCCGCCAATACCCCCCTGTCCGAGCTCATCCTCTTTCTTGTCGTCGTTGATTCTTGCATGCGCATGTATATGTAGTATATATATATGTATGTGTCTGTATATGTGTGTACGTGAATGTACATCTATACATATGCTATATATATATATACATACATATATGTGTATAGATCCACTGCCTGCAGCAAGTCTCGACACAGTGCCTGCAAAGCATTCAGGACGGCGATGCTTCGAGCTTACGATATTCCAACCTACTTTAACCTTGACCACCAGAAAGAACTTCGAGCGCAGAACAAAAAGTACAGCAACTCGAGGGTTTTCACGTGTCGGGCCCTGGGAGACACTCGTCCGACACTGTTTCGACACTCTTTTCGACACTTTTCCGGGTGCTCGGAATGATTTCTGGGACGTGGTTCTGAAGTACGATAGGGAGCAACAGAACTCTTGTCGTCCTTCTTCCGTGGCTGTGTTTTTCCGTTCCCGCCACGGCCCCCGAGAGACGAGGCCATCTGTGCCATCGCGAGCGACAAACGCCGCCGTGAGCGACAAACGGAGCGCGACAGGGGCAGCTCGTCGTGGCAGGCCGTGGCCTCCCCCCGGGGGGGCCTTCTGGCGGGCCCCGGGGCCGTCCAGACGCAGCTCGGCCGCGCTGCGTGAGAGAACAAAGAAGAAAAGGAAACCAAGTGCTCCTCCTCCTCCTTCTCCTCCTCCTCCTCCTCCTCCTCCTCCTCCTCCTCCTCCTGCGGGAGTGAAGGGGGCCTCGAGACGAGGCCATCTGTGCTACCAGCCGTTCCGCGGCGTGGGAGCGGAGTTCTGTCTGCCGGCGCCTCCCTCTCCCGTGCGTTCTTCCGTTCGGCTGGGTCCGAGTTCAGCTCGTCTCGCGGGGGCCCAGTGGGGGGGGGGCGTTGCCAGAGCCCCGACCGCAAATGGGTGTCTTGGGCGCTGGGCCTGCTCTTGGACCCCCAGATGCCCCCACAGGGGGCCCCGAAACGGCCCAAGAGCGCCCGAAGACATTCAAGGCGGCATCAAGATTACCCAAAAGGCCCCCCAAACGCCCCGAGATCAAGAGAGCCCCTGAGAGGGCCCCCAAAAGTGAAAACCTTTATTCTCAATGAAGCAGTTTAGAGTGTGCTGGTTTTTCTGGGCCGCCAAACCTCCAGGGGGGCAAATGGCCCCGGATGCTCCCAGGAGCCCCTCAAGACGACCAAAGAGGTTCCCAGAAAGGCCCCTAGACTTCAGTCGGGCCTGTCCCTCTACAGGAATACTCAAAAATATAACAAAAAATCAGGGGACGATTTTTTGAAAATTGTTGACCATGTTTGAACATATTTTTATGTTGTGTGTTTGTCGTCCAAAATCCGCCTGTACGGGGACAGGCCCGACTTAACCCTAGGCCCCCAGATCGTCCTGGTTCGTCTTCGTCTGGGCCCATTGCCCCAGGACCCCAAGGCCCAGATCGCCGGCGTCACGCTGTCGGACTGCCTCGCCTGCAGCGGCTGCGTCACCTCCGCGGAGACGGTGCTCCTGCAGGCGCGCGCGCTGGTCCTCCCTGCCGAGGGGGTACAAAGGGGAGTTTGTGGGTCGTTGTTCCTCCTCCTCTTCTTCCTTCTCTTCTTCCTCCCCCTCGACAAAATCATAGCGCATCGTGAGTCCGACACGCCGCAATGCCATCGGGACCATTCTTGGGGCAACCCCAGCAATGGACCGAAAGCGGGGGGGGCCAAACGCCGCCCCCCCCCCGCGTCCGCCAGGAGCTACAGCGGACGCCAACCTTCAACGCAGCGGAAGAAAAAAAGTAAAAGGAAGACGACGAGGAGAAAAAGAGAGAGGCGCCAGCTCATCGACGTGCTGCTCCGCGAACAGCACTGACCGCCGAAAGCGGCAAGCCCCCATGCCTCCGTGGCTCTTCCAGCACCACCGGACCACCCCCAACGGACCTCCGTGCGGGGCACACGGAGCGGGAAGGCGTATGGGTGACCAAGCCCACCCCCGCAGACCCCGTTGCCCAAGGGGGGTTAAGTGGGACCACGTCTCTGAGCCGTGCCCAAAAGGCCGACCCCCCCGACCACACCAGACACCACAACGTGACGGGCAGGCAACAACAGTGGCCAGAGCTTGCCACCAATCCAGGCAGGTACCGTATAGGCCGACGTGCACCCATCGCGAAGGACGGGATTGCGCCGACCCCGGAACGGGTGCCCTCGCGGGACCTAGAGGCCCGATCCCCTATGGGACCTGAGACGGCAGATTTGGCCATTTTGGGGGACCACCCCAGCTGGTCCAGGGGTGCCCCCCAGGCCCGACAGCGCACCGACCCCCTGGCCCGCGGCGCCGCAAGCGACGTCTAGGCGGATTTCAGTGCACCTCAGGGGCCCCGATGCGCCGCCCACGCACCGGGGAACCCCCTTGGGGGCTCCTCTTCCTACTCCTGCTCCTCCTGCTCCCCCTCCTCCTCCTCCTGCTTCCCTTGTTACCATTCCCCCTTCCCCCTCGAGTGGGCGAACCTGGGAACCCTGGAAGTCCCCAGGAGTTTCCTGGAGACTCCTGGATACTGGTCAGGATACACAGGCTTCTGATCACTATTTTGTTTGCCCGCAACAGGCCATGACACTTCAGAAGCATCCTGACAGCACGAGGGAAAGCCGCCAGCCCCCAGTTCGACCTGTAGTTCAGACCAGGAGCCTCCTCCAGCCGTGATGCTGTCACCCTTAGAGTGCACACCACGGCAGGTTCTGCGCCACGAGTATTGATCCCCCGAAGTGCGAGCGAGGGGCCTCGCTACGAGGGCCAAAAAGGTTGACAGCTCTTTGCAACGGAGGCGCACAACAATCCGCGCGGACTCAATACATTTCAACGCGATGCAACGATGGCCTCTCGCTTGCAACTTCCCCGAGCAGGCACGAGACTCGGGGGGGCCCAAGCCAGCCACCCATGCCGTGATAGTTCTCGGGGGCACGGGTCCCGCGAGAGGCCACCAAACAGGTCGCGCATCTCCAGGAGCCACCTACATTCTAGACGCTTCGCATATCCCCACCAGCGGTGCTTCCAGCGCCATGCATACCTGCACGCTGGCAGTACGACTCAGTTTCAGCTGCCCCCCCCCCCCACTCGCCGGCCCGCCGCTGAGGTGCTGCGCGAGGCGCTGCTTAGCCTCTTTAGGTTAGGCCGCCCTCCGCTGCTTTAGGTGAGTGTGTCGTTGTGTGCCCCGCTTTGAGTGGACTCGCCGTCGGCGCGCTCGCCCGCGGCCTCTGACTAAAAATCCCCACCAGCCTTGCGTCACCCTGGTCGCATCGTGGAGCTACTGCGCGCCATTTTGGCTGCGCTTCAGCTTCGGCTGGCCAATTCACGCGCACTCAATTCGTCCACTTGGTGGTTTTGGCCCACACGTTTCCGGCCACCCTGGCAGCCTCTCCAGTTACAGCGGTTGTCCACCTTTTGCAATTCAATTCATTGATGGTAACTCGCAGACCCTGGCAGTCAGTTCCCCTGGCAGTCAGCATCGCGCCTGCAGCTCGATGCACGTTTGCAGCCCCTGACAGTTTTGCAGCTCCGCCCCTTCTTCGGCTACCTCCTGGTCCCGTTCTGAGTTGCGGCGGTTGGCCTGCTGTTGCTAGGTAGTTTAACACTTCGCGCGGCCCGCTCGGATCTTGACACGCCGTCGCCGTGCTCGCCTGCGGCTAGCAACAACAACTATCCCCACCGGCCCATCCAGAAACGATGTCCAGGCGAGTTGAGGTGATCAGGGAAGTGCAGCAGCAAAGAGGAAGACGGGCGAACCGTGCAAAGGAGTGAGGAGGAAAAGGAGGAGGTGGATGGATGGATGGATGGATGAGGGAGTGGGAAGAAGGAGGATGAATAGGATGAGGAGGAGGCGGAGGAGGAGGAAGAGAAGGAGTAGGAGCAGGAAGGAGGAATTGGAGGAGGATGGAACGCAAACGCAAGTGCCAGAGGTCTCTTGGATGCCTCTCGGAGCCTCTTGGGGGTATCTCTTGGGCGATTATTGGTGGCCTCTTGGGACGTATTGGGGGTCTCTTGGCGATCCTGGGGGGCTCTTCGGGGTCTTGGGTGCGTCGGGGGGGGCCTCCTGGGGCCGCTGAGGGTCTTCTTGGGGGCCTCCTGGGGGCCTCTTGGGGCCATCTTGGGGCCATCTTGGGACCTCTCGAAGAGCGAAGCATTAATTAGCCTTGCCCCCCCCAGGAGGCCAAAATGGGGCCAAAACCTTTTTGAAAGATCGATGGCTTTGGTTGCCTCGCGGTGGCTGTTTTGGACGCCCTGACCGCTCGCGCCCCCCCCCCCTCCAGGCCCATGTGGAAGGGGGTGAGGGGAGGGGTAAACCCCTCCCCGAAAGGGGAATAAGGAGGGGTGGAAGAGGAAACGCTCTAAACCACCGACGCCCAGAGGGCTGGTGGGATTTTGCCAGTCGTGTGAGTTGGCAACAGTTCTTTCTCCCTGGGCCAACATCGCTCTCGCGGACGAAACCTTCGCGGACGGCGTCAGAAACCATTTCGAGCGGCGGCCATAATGGGAGGAACTTGGCGGCCAGCAGTCCCACAGTTCGTGCCACTGTGTATTGCTGGTCGACTAACTCCAGCTCCTCTGTGTTGCCTCTTCGGATGGGACGCGGCAGCCAGTTTGGCCGCTGCGTCGACGTAATTATACCCGATGCGAAGGAATCGGTCGCGATCGCCAACCGCATCGTCAACGATCTGGTGTTTTTTTGTCACCTTGGTCGTCGTGATCACTGGCATATTCACACGGACGAACTGGGCACCCCCCATATACAAACGTTTGTGGCTAGTTTAACCCCAGGCATTCCAGCATCATCGGCAGCAGTCTGACGGCTGCGCCTTGGCAATCCTGAGTCGTTCCAAAACGTAGTGCTTGATACGTTAAGTTAACGATGGGAAGGTCCGAACTTCATGCAACTGTGTAGAAAGCGAGTGTGCGCGGCGCTAAGGCGAGAGCCACATGTTGAAAAAACAAACGCCCTCAATCCGTGAAGTTCCTGCAATGTGTTTAAAACAAATACGTGCGGCGCTAAGGCGAGAGCCGCATTTTGAAAACGGCCTGCGCGCGGCGCTAAGGCGAGAGCCGCGTTTTGAAAATTGCCCGTTATTTATCCTACAACTTCTGCAACTGTTGAAGGCGGCTGTGCGCGGCGCTCAGGCGAGAACCTCATTTGGGAAGCGGCCCGCCCTCCTCCCTGGCATCGCTCGGACGTGTGCGTTTTTTTCCTCGGCGAGGACCATCGAGGAGCATCCTTTATCATTTCGCGAAAAAAAAAAGAAAACGCACGAAACCGACAAAAACACAGGAAATGGACGTCCGAGCGATGGCCAGCCTCCTGCGAGGCTGCTGCCAACCCGTAAGGCTCCAGGATCATAGATAGTAAGGAGTTCTCAGGAGAAGCACCCAGCCCACCCTTCCGACCGGCCTCGGGGTGCGACAGGGAGGAGCTGTTCATCAGGAGAAGAGTGGAGGAGGAGGGGCAGCGGGACCAGGAGCAGGAACAGGAGCATCCAGCAGGAGGAACGGGAGGATCAGGAGGAGCAAGAGCGGGAGGATCAGGAGGAGCAGGCGCAGGAGGGAGAGCAGGAGGAGAAGGAGGGGGTGAGAGAATGGGAGGGGGAGGAGGAGGACGAGGAGTAGGAGGAGGAGGAAGAGGAGGAGAAACTTTTCAGGGGTCTCCGGGGAATCCCTGGGGACGTCCGAGGTTCCAAGGTCCGCCCTCTCGATGGGTGGTGGAGGAGGTGGAAGAGGGGGACCAGGAGGAAAACCAGGAGGAGAAAGGGGAGGGAGGAGTAGTGGGAGCATGGAGGACGAATTCTTTCGGGTGCTCTGGCGGGGTCGAAGGGAAGGGAAGCAGTCCGGGGGAGGGAGGGAGAAGCAGTCGGGGGGAGGAGGAGGAGGAGGAGGAGGAGGAGGAGGAGGAGGAGGAGGAGGAGGAGGAGGAGGAAGGAGAAGCAGTCGAGGCAGGGAGGGAGAAGCAGTCGGGGGGAGCATGAGGAGGATGAGAAAGAGGAGGAGGAGCTGGAGGAGGAGGAGGAGGGAGGAGGAAGGAGGAGGAGGAGGCGGAGGAGGAGGAAGGAAAAGCAGTGAGGGGAGGGAGAGACGGGATTTCACGCCCTGGTTATGCCTGTGGTTTGCCCTTTTCAGCGGCTGCTGGGGGGTGCGGCTCGTGACTAGGCCTGCGCGCAGCTCCAACAGTACTCGTCGGGATCTTCGCCGGCAGGGGGCCAGGACAAGGGCAAGTACGCTTCCCTAGCACGCCGGGAACTATCGGGCGGGAGCGGCGTCGTTGCAGGGGGGCCAGTCTGCGGCGCCAAGGCGCGAGCGCCTCTCCCGGGCAACAAGCGGAGGAACATCGAGCGGGAGCGCGGATTCTGTTTTGGTGGGCCGGCCTTCGGCGGCGATCAAGAGCTGATGGGCGTGTTTTCCACCACCACCACAAGTTGGAGGGGGAGGGACTCCTCCTCCTCCTCCTCCTCCTCCTCCTCCACCTTCCCCCTTCCAACTCATGGTGGTGGTGGTGGTGGAAAACAGGCCCATCAAGAGCGCCAGTCTTGAGCCTCGCGAGCGAGGAGGCAATACATCGAGCGGGAGCGTGGGGGTCGGTGTCGAGGATGACGAGGGCGTCCCGGCCTCGGCGGCCGCCCCCTCCCTCCGGGGGCTCTCGGGGGGCCTCCGCGCCGGCGCCTCCGCTCCTCGCCCCGGGGCGCCGCGGCGAGGCGCAGAGCGGCGAGGAGTTCCTCCGGCGCGTGGCAGAGGCCCCACGCCCTGCCCGAGCACGACGACGACGCCGACAACGACGCCGCCGGCGTCGCCGCCGCCGACGCCGCCGCCGTCCGCCGTCGACGACGCCGACGCCGACGCCGTCGACGCCGACGCCGTCGGCGACGGTGACGACGACGACGACGACGACGACGACGACGACGACGACGAAAACGACGAAAACGACGACGACGGCGACGACGACGACGACGACGATGACGAAAACGACGACGACGGCGACGACGTGCGTCGTTCGACGTCGCCGCGGGCGGCGGCGTCGGCGCTGAGCAGGCGCGGCGGCGGCCGCGCCTGCTCGGTGCTGCGCTCCCGCGCCCGGAGGCGCTCAGAGGAGGCACGTGGAGCCGCATCGTCGGTGCGTCGGGGATGCGGAGCGCTCTGTCGATCCTATATACTCTGAAGCCGGGCCTGTCCCTCTACAGGAGGCGCACTCAAAAATACGTTAGAAAACATGTTTGGGCACGATTGTTCTGATTTTTGTTGCCATGTGTTAGTATCTTTGGATTGATTTTCATTGTATCCTCCAGAATCTGTCTGTAGGGGGACATGCCCGACCGAAATATCTACTCGGACCCATTTGGGTGGTCGGGGACTCAGATCGGGTCCGCCACTGGCGCGCGCGCGCGAGGGAGGGGGGTCCAGCGCCGATCCAAAAAAACAGCGCGAACCTCCGAGAGTTTACGCTTACATCAGTGTTTGTGCTTCCAGGGGTTCAGAGGAGGAACAGGTACTCATACCGCTACCCTTGCTTCGTGTTTTTTTGGGGGGCCTCTTCTTGGGAAGGTTCTCGTCGCCGCCGCTGGATTCGCCTCGTCCGGTCAGAAATTACCCAGCAAAAGGTCCGTAGAGCAGCGGTATCGGTAATCTTTTAGTATTAAGTCGGGGGACGATTCTTCTACAACCTGTGATTGTCTTTTTGTGCTAAGTTTCTTTGTTCCTCCAAAATCCGCCTGCAGGAGTACATGCCCGACCTAGTTTTAGTGCCCCGGGGGTCGGAGGGAGCCCTGAGGGAGAGGGAGGGTCGGCGAAACATAGAGAGAAGGGCAGCCCCCTCTAACAGGACGACGGGTGAATACACGATGGCGATCGTGCCGCGATGGGGGAGCGGATGCGTTGGTCTGCGGAGGCGGCGGCGCATGGAAAATGGCGGCCCTTCTTTGGCGTGGCAGCAGGTGGGTAGGCGCGCGCTGTCTGGTTCTTGCTCTCTCTCTCTCTCTCTCTCCCTCTCTTCTCTTTCTCTCTCTCTATCTCTCTCTCTCTCTCTCTCTCCTTGTTATCTGGACGAGTTGGCGGTGCGCAGGAAAGCAAGGAGGAGGAAGAGGAGGAGCTCGAGTAGGAGGAGGAGGAGGAGGAGGAGGAGGAGGAGGAGGAAGGAAGGGAGGAGGGCTCGAGCTGAACGGTGTGTCTGGCGATGTCGTGGGCTGAACTGTTGTTGTGGTCGCGTTTTGCAGCCAGGGCGAAACGAACAATGGAAAACACGGCTTGGGTCGAGGCCTTGCGGGGAGGGGCGGCTCCTCGGGAGGGCGCGGGCGGCGCGCCGGGGGGAGCGGCCCGCGAGGGAGGGGGAAGCTCCGAAAGCCCCGCGCCCCCCTCTGCCACAGCCCCCTCGGCGTCTGGTGCAGTTTTGGCAGCATCCATGGTCGCTGGGGTTGATCATGGTGAATATGCACTGGAGGCCTCTGGCAGTTGTGTTTGTCTGGATGTGGGCGCGGGTTCCGGTGTACAGTTGTCTGGTGACAACCGCTGCAGTTTTGGAGCGCGCCTGGACGGATGGTGACTCCCTCGGGGCCACGGAAGCAGCAGACTCCATAGGTTCTCAACGTGCGTCGACACGGTCAGGCACAGATCACGATAATTCTTCTTTGGGTTGACTTCAATGATGGCAAGGCTCACGGCGCCTCGCGCGCCCTCCGGCGTCCCATCAGGTCAAGTTGATGGTCACTGCAACGATTTTACATTGGGTACAGATGATGGACTACGCTCGTGCGCTGTTGCTGGTGGTGCTCTCGGTCAGGAACACGGTAGCCAACTTTGTGCTCGCGCACCTGGTCAGGCTAACGATGACATTTCTACTGTGCATGATGATGGTACAAGTGGTCAAGTTCAGTATTTCCCAAAAACCCCTTCACATGTCGTGGCAGGTTCGCTTGCGTGTTCGAGACCACCGACGGGTGGGCCAGCTCCTCAGAGCTCGCGAGGATGCTTTCGGGCGTATCCCTCGAGTGTTCGCAACGGCGTGGGGGCCCCTGCCGAGGCGGTGGTCGACACCCCCCGTTCCGCTGGCGATGCTGCTGCGGGGCGCGAAGGTCAGGTCCGCAGCCTTGGTGGCGATGTGCGCGACGACCTGGGCGCCTCCAACGTCGTCTACACCTTCGGGTTGCCGTCTCAGCCGCGTTCATTCTGTAAGCGCACTTGGCGGCGCGCAAAGAAGGGGGCGCGCCGACGAGAGCTTCGGGTGGCCACTTTCAACAGCAGTGGCTGGCCTCAGCTACGTGATTTTCTAGAGACCATGGGCGCCCAGCTTGGCGTTGTTTTGTGCTCGGGCGGTCAAGCTTGACGGGGGCGGCCTGGATAGAGCGCGAGAGTGGTCCAGCCGGAACGGATGGCGACCATTTATGGTTGCTGCACGCAGATGCCCCAGTGGTAAGATGTCTGCGGGCGCGGCGGTCTTCGTCCGTCAGCACATCGGCGCGGCTGCATTCACGGTGGTCGGACAGTTTTGTTATATCACCTGGGCGGTGTGTGGCGATTCTTGCGCAGGCGGGCCGACGGCATGGCATGGGCCTGGGTTCAGTTCAGTTAGAGCAGGGAGCTCGCCGCTTGGGACCTAATGCGCAGACGTTGGAGTATCCGGGATCCTTGTTGTCCCACTACAAACTGCCATTCCTCTTTGGAGGAGACTGGAACAATCCGCCAGAATATCTTGGGAGGTCTGCGATTCCTGATCGTCTGAAGGCCAGAGTTACATCGGGCTCTGACGGGGCCTATCGAGACCCCAGATCAGGCAATTTGTCGGTCTGAACCGACTGGGCATGCTAGTGATTGCGTTGCTGGCGCCTTGGGCGCTGTAGTCATAGCTTCCGCCGGGGAACCATTATGCCATGCGTTTTGGCGTGGGTGTCTCGGTGCGCTCCTAATCTGCGACGGCCCTGCGGGGCTTCTTTTTTTCCCCCGCTCAACCGCGCGCCCCTGTTCGTCAAGATATCGAGGTCGAAGGGGGCGAAAGCGCTGTTGAGTGCGATCGTGGGGATACTGTGCGAGACTGGATTGGTCTCATGAGGGGTGACTCTGCCATGCGATTTAGATCCCTGGCGACATCTCGGCAGGTTGGGGCATCTTGCGGGCGCGATTTATGCCGGTACTAAATGCGAGTTGCTTCCATGTTTTAAGGTTACGCTTGACGTGGCCTGCCGATGCGCGGGCAGGGCTAAAGGGCCAGTCTTTCGCCGAACGACCTCTGGTGGGGCACCGGATCGGCAGAATCCTGCGGGAACTATTTTGCCCAGTGCGTTGAGGCCATTGTAATTGCGCGTCTACGGCGTGCAACTTGCATGTGACAAATCGCGGTGTGTACACATGCGCGCATAGGCATGCTTGTATTCATTCATGAGTGGGGAAGGGAGGACAGGCCGGATACGCGCTGTGATCCCACGCGCTGCGCGCAGTATAGCGGTCGACCTTGCCCATGCTATTGCACAACATGATCGCGCGCACCATGCGCATATGCTTCGCTTTGTCGGTGACGACTTGGGCCGATTCGCTGAAGCGGAGGAGCGTCGGTCGGCACGGGCCCGGGCCAAGTCCTTCACGAGATGGCTGCGTCAATGCGTCAGAGGTCAGCCTGGGCCCGCGCGCCGCTGGTCTAAACCACGTGGGTGGTGTCTCTCACAGATTCACACAGCACTGGGGCCATCTAGCACGCCCGGGGACGCATGCGAATCTTAGAGGGCTTCTTGGTCGGATGTCTGGGGGGGGGGGGGGGGGGGGGGGGCGGATGTTGCGCCCGATTTCCAGGGCCGAAGTCTTTTTGAGGATGGAGATTATGATTTATCGGAGGAATAGAGACACCCGTGCACTGTGGGGCCACGGTTGCCGCCCTTGCCAATTGCTGACCTTGGGGCTGCTGCGCCATAGTTCCCTCGTCGCACGGCCGTCGGACCCGACCGCCTTCGCCCGCGCCACTGCGAACTGGCATCCAAAGAACGCGTGGCTGTGATCTCGTGCTTTCTGCGTGTGAGCGAGTCCTTTGGTGCTTGGCTGTCGCGTCTGAGGTCTGAGCCACTCGCGCGTAGTTTTCTGGGGAAGCCGACAGGGGGATATCGCCCGATGGCCCCCCTGGTGCCCTTGCATCGCGCGCGGGCTCAGGCGAGATTGCGGAGGGCCCTGCGGTGGGCACTCCAACTTGAGCGCCCCTCTCTTGCGCTAGACGCTCGGAAGTCCACGACTGTCGCGGCCGCGCGCGCACTTGCCCCCGGGGAGGTTGCAGGGCCTTCTAGCAATCCGCTCGCGTCGGCGCACGCCATCGTCGACGTCGCCAAACGTTTCGGCAAAGTGGCTTGGGGGGTTCTGGCAAAATCGGCTTCGCATCGAAACTTCCCAGGCCAGATTATCGCACTTGCGATTCGCATGCGCAGGAGTTCGCGGCGTTTGGCTTGGGGCAACTGTTGCTCGGATCGGATGTGGGCTTCTCGAGGGGTGCCCCCTGGTTGTGCACGTGCGACGTTCGCCTTACAGAGTGCCTACTGCTCACGCCATTCGATGCCCTTTTACCAGAGCGCCTTGCACGCCCCGCGCGCCGGCGACCTGCACGTGGACGACATTGCAGCATCGACGATGGGGGCATCTGAGCTGCGTCGGGGGCAGGGCCTCGAAGCTCCCGAGGCTCTTGCCACGCGCATTGGACGTCTTTGGGCCCCCACTTCCAGGCGCAAAATGAGAGTCACCTCCGGCCGCCCCCCAGTTGGCAGACGACGGTGTGCGGCGATGGTGATCTCCGGGATGCCTATGCCAGCGTTCACGAGGTCGCGGGCGTCGAAGTGGGGCAAGGCCGTGCATGGCGTTTCGCGGGACTCAGGTCCAGGGTTCGCAAGGCCGCAAAACATGCACCCCGACATCGCGCCGCCCGCAAGGCAGGTCCCCTGGCGTCTCGATGTGCAAAGCAGGCGTCACCAGCAGCCATGGAATAGGGCATCGGCGCCCACGGAGCGCCACCTGCGCTCGTCGATCGCACGCGAGCTTTACAGCGACAGGACCGGCATATCCCAGGCTCTACGAGCCAGAACTGGATCGGCTCAGGTTTACAGGGCACGATGCACACTGATCCGCAGATCACCGCATGGACTGCGCCACGGTACCAGTGGGCCCTGTTACATCGAGATGTGTCGTTGTCTACCGATGTCCTCCAGCAGGCATGGAGCAATCAGGTTCGTAAGCAGCACAAGTCCAGCGCCCCCTGGCGCAATGCGCGCGGGCCCGCAGGGGCCGCGGTGCTTGCCCCCAGGGACTTCAAATTGAGCACCACAGCGGGCCATATGGCGCACGGACATCGGGGACCTTATAGACCTCGCCAAAACCGCCCCCATCCACTGTCAAAATCCTTGCGCGGGAAGCTGCCGCGCGAAGAACGCGGGAGCGTTGGGCCGTGTGGCCTGGGCTTCCTGGTTAGGCCAGCATCCCCAAATATCCATTGGGTTACTGGCTGGAATACGTGATTCAGTGGCTCAACAAGGCCCCCACTCCAGATGAGTTCCCCGGAACAGATTCCGAAGCCGACCCCGTCGTAGCTGAAGGACAGCAGGAAGGACTTCGAAGTAGGTGGGCGCCTGACTTTCGGGACGCTGGGATGTTGCGTACCAGAGCGGGGGGGGGGGAATTGTGAACGCCGCACCGCCTTGCCCAGAGCGGTTACAGGGACAATGATCAGTGTCCGCGATGTCTCCAAGCCGGCCGCGACGCCTTTCACATCATGTGCAGATGCCCACATCTGGCGGGTGAACGCCAGCGCCACATGCATTTAGTGGACACGAGGGGTCTCCCGCCGCGTAGTTCAGATAATTTCCTTTGGACGCGTTGCCTTGTGGGTCGTTCGCGTTCCTTTGGGCTTCCTCCTCGTGTCGACGCGGGCGGGCGGCGCATGCAGCACGGTAGTCCATATGGGCTTGCGGGGAGAGTGTACACGGATGAAGCGCGTCGCAAGTTTTGGCATTGGCCTGCGCGTTCCAGGGCTGGCAGGGTGTTTACACAATTTCGGGAGCCTCCCGGACAAGGGGTAGCCATCTCAGCGCACGGGGCCTTGCCAGGGCCTGTGCAGACCTGTCTTAGGGCAGAGCTGTGCGCCTCTTTTACACGTCCTTTCGGTCGGGGTTCCCCCGATGATTGCGCGCGCGGATTCCAAGGGCCCGGCTGATGGCCTGGAGCTCGGCCCCGCTCGGCGCCGAGCGCCCCGTCGGTGCATGGGCCAACGCATGGGCCAAGATTGAAGATCATGGGCCGAAGTTGAAGAGCATGGAGGACTGGCGGCAGGCATCTCCGCGCAGCTGGTCCAGGCCCATCAGCGCGGCAATACCATTGATGCCATAGGCAACCGATGGGCAGACCTAGGAGCTAGGAACGGTCGCGACGTGCATAGTGCCCCAAAGCCGCTCAGAGACGCCATGGGGATCGGTCTTCGCAGCTATCAGGCCACCTTGCGGTGGGTGGTTCAGGTTTCCACCTTGTTCTTCCAGGGGTCCAGGGTTGACGCTCGGCCCGGGGCCAAGGCGCGCAGCTCGCGCGCGCCCTCGTCCCTCGGACCTGAAAAGTATCAGGGTTCTCAGGAGTTGAGGCGCGTGTTTAGCGCGATCCCGGGGCGATCCATTTGGCGAGGTAAATTTTGTCAGAGAAGCTCTCGGACCGACAAGACTCGTGATCGTCTCGAGCCCGTTTCTTTATTGCTTGGGGCATGACGGGCGTCATGGCTCCCGGCCCCCTCCCCTACAACGGAATGCTCCCCCTCCAGTGCGCTCTGGGCGCTGCACCCCAGCGCGCTCTGAGCATTGCCGCTGTGCGCATTGGGATCCGCGTAGGGATCCGCATAGGAGTCTGGTCCGCAGTCGTCGTCGTCGTCGTCGTCGTCGCTCGTGGCTTGTCGCTCGTCGCTCATAGTCGTCGTGCGCGCGGACGTGGTTGAAACCTGTTTTTTATTCCGGGCCGATGACGGCAATCATCTAGGAGGGGATGGAAGGGGGCGATGACGTCACGTTTCGCGCCAGCGGCGTTCGGGAATGCCTCGGACTGACGGAGGACGGGTAGCGCCAGCATGTAGGTTGCGATTTGCACCACAACGCCTGTGTACACCACAGTGCTTGCGTTCACCACAGCGCCTGTGTACACCACCGCCAATGTGCACCACAGCGGCCGCGTGCAACGCACCGTCAGTTTGCGCCACCGCGCCTGCGGGCACAACAGCTATTGTGCACACCACAGCGCTTGCGTTCACCACATCAGCCGTGTGCAACACAGCACCAGTATACACCATAGTGCTTGCGTGCATTGCACTGCCTGTGTACACCACGGCGC